GCTATTTAGTTCCCAGATTCCAAGCCAGCAGTTCCCATAAACTGTACTATATGGAAATTCCGAGCAAAGCAATTGTAACACATCAGTAGGGTGCCAGTTTGGGAAAGCTTTGAGTACAGCTACAAACCTGGTATTCCTAATTGCAGTTCTGGTTGCTGAAAGGAATATAGCTAAAGGACTCATCAATTTGTCTATCTGCCTTTCACAAATACCAGCCACAAACTAAGAGCTCTGAACCTGATTTTGTATCTTAGTACTATTGATATGTTGATACAAGCTGTGTGTTTTCCTACCAATTTAAAAGCAGCAAAATCCCTCTAAGTGAGAACTGGTTTGATATAGTGGTTAAAGCAGCAGGCTAAAAACTGGGACTTCTAGTCCCACATTAAACACAAAGATAGCTGGGTTACTTGACCCAGACTCTATCAATCCTAGGAAGAAAGTGGTGGCTAATCATGTCTGAAACTTTACTTGAAAACTGCAGGAATGTTTCCAGATATTCACCAGGAGTCAGTACTCATTTAAAGACACACATATAAGTATAGAACACCTCCAGGGGTGAAATTCAGCAGGTTCTAACAGGTTCTGGAGGACGGGTAGTGGAAATTTTGAGTAGTTCAGGGATCCAGCAAATGCTACCTATGGCTGGCCCCAGAGTGGGGTGGGAATGGAGATTTTATAGTATCTTTCCCCTGGAGTGGGGTGGGAATGGAGATTTTATAGTATCTTTCCCCTGGAGTGGGGTGGGAATGGAGATTTTGCAGTAGCCTTCCCCTGTCACTCCCACCAAGCCACACCCACAGAACCGGTAGTAAAAAAAATTGAATTTCACCACTGATCACCTCTAATAATTTCCTACCAAATGCTAGGAAACCCAAGACAGAGAATGAAGTGTGTAATGACTACTTTTTCTTCAATGTAGGCATGGGTATAAAGTAAGGTGACCAGACATCCCGCTTTTGGCGGGACAGTCCCGATTTTTGTCCCGCATCCCGCGCCGTTTTTAAAAAGTCCTGATTTTTTTATTTTTAATCAAGAAACCCCCCTCCCCCCGGTCAATGGTGTCCCGCATTAAAATCTGGTCACCTTAGTATAAAGGCAACATGAAGAATGCATATCTACCAACTGTTTTGGCTGTGATAGTCATACTTCAGGGGAGGGAGAAACTCTAAAGTCTTAGAACTCTAAAGCGTTCTCAAGAATAATTACTCTTGAGTAATCTAGGGAGATTTTCAAAGGAGTATTAAGGGAGGGACAAGATCTGAAAACAGTCTTTGTGAGAGGATGTGTTTTACAGGAGTGCTGGTTGCAAGGAAGGTGGCTGTGGAATTTGATAGTAGTTGCAAAGATGAAAAAGTAAAGTTAAGGGCTTCTGATCAATATTATTTCATTTTCTGAAGCTGATGACTGCTCTGTTATATCAGTTCTCAATATAAAAGGGAGTTGGTGTGTTCTTCCAGTAGCTGTTTATTGCTCCAGGGCAGGGGTTCTTTGTAAGAGAATAAAGTTTTTAATTGCAAAAGCTGTTTATTGTTCTAGTTGAAGTCATTTCTTCAGTTCTATTCTTTCAGTTTTATTTTCTTATCAATAAATGTGATCGCTGCCTTGTGTTCAAATAAGATTCCAAACAAAAACACAATGCAACTAATTTTTGTTTTCTTACTTTGTGCAGAAGCCAGGGGCTTGTAAAAACCACCCAGAAAAAAAACAACATGTATTTTTCACAGTTTCATTATGATATCAATGTACACTTACACACAAGTGACAATCTTTGCAAAAAACATATGCTGTATAGTTGGGAGACCTAGTTCTTCGGAAAAAACTCTTCAAATAATTCAAAATGCCACTTGAGTACCTATTAATCAATTGTTCTAAGAGGTCTATGCTCTCGAACTGAGCAAATTTCAGATGCAATAACTGAACTCCCAAAATTCCCAACCAGCATAACCGTAGTTATTGCTGAAAATTCTGGAAGTTGGTCCAAATATCTAGATGTTGTTCAGTTGGAAAATTCTGCGTTTATATTTCACAGACAGAAGGGCTGCCAATACATGGGTAGAAGAATAAAAACCAATCAAAGTTTATGTGTAAACCATGTTCCTATTTCTAATCCTAACACAATCTCAGCTTTCATATTACCCAAAATCTCCTGTAATGAAACAGGAATTGCCCTACCAAGGGGGGAAAAGTGGAAGGCCACCCTCAAGTTTGTTATAAAATACATGTGCATTTATTTATTTCATAGTGTTTAAAATCCACCTCTGCATATAGTGTTTAAAATCCATCTCTGCATATTGCACTGTAGAAAGTCAGCACCCGCCCTCCTAGAAGAATGAAATATTTTGAGGCATATTTTTAAAAAGGCAGCGTATTATATTTCCCCAAAGGGAGAAATAGAAAAATGCATTTTTTTTAGAGGCAGGAAGTAGACTCAGTCTTTCTTAATAGCGCCAAGAGATAAGTTGTGGGTTCTGGATCCCGAAACGGGCCCGGTGTCATCCACATGGATGTGTGCAGCACACACATGCATCTTAGCACCTCCGCAAGCCTCCACGATGCTCTAGCTGCTCAGCAGAGCATCACACAGGCCTGTACACAGCGTGTGTGGAAGCACCGAAGACTTAAAAGACTGGTAAGGAGCTTGGGCGGGTGGGTGGGCCCTCTGGAGCACCACACCGGAACAGTATCCAGTGCTCCAGGCAGGCTCATGTATGCCCGTACTGGGGCATACCACCTGAAACCCACCACTGCACCAGATACTGGGGCAGTTTTTAGAAATGCAGATTTGGTAACCCATTCAAGACAGGATATTTTGAAACAAAGGCAGAATGGTAGGATTAGAAGCACCCATCACCCAAGATCCAACACAGGAAAAAGCCATTCAGCCACAATAGGAATTGCCCAATGCCCTTTCAGCACACAAGCCCCTTTGTTGCAACACCAGAAACTTCAACCAAACATAGCTCAGACAAACATCTAGGACTTGTACTTTGCCTATAGAGCCAGTTACAGTGGTGTGTTCCTACCAGTTTGGACCAGTTTGGGGGAAATGGTAATGGTTTGGCAGCCTGGGTTGCTGGACCCAGCAGCAACCCAGGTCTGCCATGTCCCCGAACCATTTCTCTGGGCAGCACCGTAGGTGTTGCTATCTTGTTTTTCACTTCTGCGCATACGCAGAACAATTTTTATTGCACTGTTTATGTGCATGCAGTGTGCACACATGCACAGCATGCATCAAATGCATACAAACACCTATGAGCAAACCCACAGTAGTGTCTGCTGGAACCCGCCCTTGGCCAGTTATGACCCCTACATAATTCTTACATGGCCCATGGGAGTCTGATAAAC